GTGTAAATTGCACTCTCCCGAATAACTGGTTGTCCATGTCATAATATTTTACCATTGCTAATTTAGCTAAATCCTTAACGGATTTCAAATTTTGGATTTCTGTTCTTGAAAGTATTTATAAATAATAAACGTTGTACTTCCAGTGCAAGTGTTCTTTATATGCTTTCCTGTATTTTTAAAACATAATTAATAATTTCCGTATTTGTTAACAATGACAGAAATTTAGTTTCTATGCCCCATTTATTTGCAATAAACTCAGCTTTTTTCATAATGTCTTCAAACTTGTTTCTCATATCTTGCATATTAATAGAAATGCTTTTTAGATGTTGATGTGCTCCATTCAAGTGGATTGATTTTTGATTGTCGAGCCGATTGATTGATTGATCGATCCTGCACTATAGCGCAGGATATGTTTAAAAAATTTTGTTTTTAATTTTGGCCTGTTATGATGTTTCTTAATGTATGGAAACATAGATTATATTTATATTTCATATTTATCATAAAAATATTTCATGTTAATATAACAATACGTTATTAATATTAGTAGACATTTTGCATTGTTAATGGTGATAATTTTGGATTTTTCAGATAAATGGATTAGTTTAGCTGTTTAGCTGAATTGAATTTTTAGCAAGTTTTAAATTATAAGAATTTAGTTTATGATTAATTTAGATATTACAAATCAATAACTTACCTTATAATGAAGAATTATAATGAGATCACTTTGAAATTTAATTTTAAAGAAAAACCTCTTCAGTTTTTTCTCGCCATAGACTAGAGAAATGGCATTAGAATAAGAGCAAGTTTAAGTTCAGTTTACTGTTCTGAGTCATCAGCCAATTTACAAGTATAACTTGAGGGGTAGCGTTTCACACTTCAATGGGGTGGCTTAACGAAGAAAGGGACTTGAAATCACACTTAAATGCAGCTGTTTAACGAAGAAAGGGACCTGAAATCACACTTAAATGCAGCTGTTTAACGAAGAAAGGGACCCCGCCTCCACTATAAATTTACAGTGTCTTCCCAAGTTGAGTCACAGTAAAACTTTCATCCAAGACTTTACTGTAAAGATGTCCTTTGTAACGCTGAAACATCTGTTTTTTTCTTTTTTTCTTTTTCCCTTCACTCAAATTGTACTATTATTATTGCCATATTTCAATAACACATAATACATCACTTGCAATATCTTTCTACATTTCCTCTGTACTATAAATGCCTTTCAGTTAATGTATAATTATTAAATACTTTGACAGTAAAAATTATGGGTATTCGAATATTTTTAGGAAATTCTTCACAAGTTTACGATGAAATCATAAACAGGTAGAAACAAATTTTATTGATATGTATCCAAAGAGCTTTGAAAATGATTATGTAAAACGGAATGGAAATTTTAAAATTAAACACAAAATACTTATGGTATGAGGATTTATCTAAACTTAAATACCCACTAAAATATGACGATTCCCTTCTAAGTTTCAAAGTCCCAGAAATTTTTAATAATTTAGAGTTAAACTTATTGACACTAACGTATATTTGAAGATGAGTACTCACACTCTGTCGCATGGATTCTAAAAGTAGTACACATAAATACTTGTTTAGGAAACCAGTATAAAGTTTCTTCATAATTAATAAAAATAAAATTGTATGAAACAGGTTTTGCGTACTTCGTAGAGAAATGCGCAAAACTTCATTTAATGAAAATAGGTTTGTTGTACCCCAGGTGGATCAGAAAGCAAAAATCAGTTAGGAAAAGCGGCTATATTTTAGGAGCAATAATATTTATGATTATTGTTATCTGTTTTATTTGCGTCTTAGAAAGCTATTTATGTCTCAGAAATTAATGACCTTAGATTTCCAGTCTTTACATTGCTTATAAATTAAGCAGTATCAATTTTTTATCATTAACTATTAATGACAAAAATATAAAAAATAAATATAATCTATGAGAACATATATTAACGGAAGCTATTTATGTCTTAGAAAAGTTATGCAGTGATGCCGAATTGAAACAGAATAATGTACAAAGGACTTTTACGAGTGAAAATCGCATCTTTACTATTAAAACGTGTTAATTAAATTTTTTAATTTGCAAAAATTATTGAAATATTGCAATAACGGGGGAGCATTCTTCTCTGAAATATTCCATTCGTTTATGTAAGTGAAAATAGCAATGTAATTCGCGTTCTTTCAGATGCTGAAATACAACTTAAAACTATTAGGGCAATGCTGCCATTGATATGTTTAATATTTTCAGTAATTAATTTATCGAAATTTACGAAGTAGTATATATTTTTAGTTGTGTGATACCATTTTTATTTTCATTATTATACTATTATTGATGATTTCACGTAGTGAATGCTGTGGAAAGTAAATTAAAAGCAAAAGTAAATTGTAAAATTTCATTTCAAATAACTATTCAAAGTACTCCATGAAGGCGTTCTTCCCCTTAGGCAAATAATCCTCGAATGCTTTATTATTATATAATAATTCAATTAAATGCTGTTTAAATAAAGTACAAATTATTGCGCATTACTCAATTATACGCTTAAATGTTTCACGTTGTTAAAATAAATTGTAATTTATTATATTTTTTTCAAACGAAGATTTTGATATGAAGAAAGATTAATATAGTACTTTCAAAACAAATTTAATGTCTTCAGAATTTTCTTTTACAGATAAGTGTGAATTTTTGGTAGATGGGTAATTTACAGGTTAAGAAACACTACAGCTCTTCTCTTTTCTAAAGCAAATCCTCAAACGAGTTCTGTGTTTTCAGATTTAATTCTCGATTAAGGATTCTAAAGAATTCCTAACCTGCATTTTATCTGCAATATGAGAATATTTTGATATGAAAAATTGCATAAATATTTATTTACTCATTATTTCAGTTAAAAATATTCATTCATTCCATTTCCTACCCCCATGAGTGAAAAGTAATGAATTTCGATAAATTTAATGAAAAAAATTTCATTAAATTTACGCCGGAAATTAACTGAAATATTTCACCGCTTAATGTTTGAGTATCTGTGTATTCGTTAGCCTGTCGTAACCCCCCCTTTTTTTCAGACTTTTAATTCATTCAAAGATCCCTAAGCCGAACGGGAAATCTCTCCTTTCCAAATGTGGTGCCGTAAATTCTTTGCGTTTCCTGGACTAGAACGGCATTTCGACATGCGGGTGGGGCAAAGTCCTTTCATGCCACAACTTCTCAACTTACGTCAATGATTTTGTGTCCTTAAGAAAGAAAAGCATGTATTCTGGAGTTAGCAATTAATACTTAGGAATGATTCCCCTCTCCAGCTTAATAAGGTAAAAAAGAGAGAAAAAAAATCGATTTGCCTTTAACTTTGCCATTTTGTAATCCAAAATGCCCCTTGGTGCGACTGCAAAGGTTACAAGTACCATCGTTTTTTACATTGTGAGAACTATACATTCAAACATGCAGATTCTTCCTTATTTAATTTCTTTAAAAACGGAATGACATATTATGAAAATTATGAACTGCAAATAATATACCACGATTTCTCTTAACTAGCAAAATTCATTCCAAAGTACCAGAATCCTGCCTAGTTACTTCTTTGATTTATACTTAGAAAATATGTCTACTGATTATTCGACCATAATGCAAATTATAGAGAAACAAATTAATATATAAAATAAGTAATATATAATAAATAGTTACAATTAATTTCCACTTCCACTGCTTTTTGATTTGGGATTGCAAAAGGAGAAACCTTTCCTTTAGGGGGGTTGCCTTTAATAATTTTCAGGTTTGAGACTAAGGAATACAAAGGAACTTTTCCTATTTTCCGCTCACTGCTATCCATAAACTGGGGTAGGTCATGAAGTTATTATTTCAAAACCGAATGCTGAAATTTTAACTTTTGCAAACACTTGAATTTAGCTGTTTCAGGTGCTTCCAACGGCCTCCTATCTGCGTCATACAGAGAATTGCATCACTGCACCATATAGGTAGGAGGGCCCTTAAAAACTTAAAAGAAAACGAATTCTATTATCTACATATACTTAAAGATTCTAAAGTTTAAAGTAAATTGGAGTCATATCAAGGCTATTCCTCAACTATATTAATATGAACAATCATGTAAAAGGGGTTTAACACAAAATCAAAACATATCAAAATTAAAATAAGCATTTATAGTAGCACAAATTCTAAAAATAAAGATGAAAAACAAAAGGGAAAAAAATACAAGATAAAAAATATAAAAATAATAATTAATCTTCTTTTATAGAAATTCTAATTCCGAACTCATCAAGGGAAAATGAATTGAAGCTTCTATATATATGTGTAATGGAATCTGTCTTAAAGTTTAAACACATAAATGTAGTTCAGCAGGACATTTAAAGGGCCCCCTAAGCCTTCGGGGCCCTATGCGACGGCATTCCTTGCATACCTTTATTTACGCCACTGTTGATACTTGAATTTGTATCACTATCATTTCTAGAAAATTCTTTTATTTAAAAAAATCAGCTATAGAACTTTTAACAGGTGAAGATTGTGTCACATTGTTGACACATTATGAGATAAATGGTTCAAATTTCACCAGCTTTGGACAAATTTCATCACCTTTTTCATGCAATTCATGTTAAATACTGCTTTATTAAAAACTAAACAAATCAAACATAAATTTAAAAGAACTAAATCTAAATTCAGCCGTCTGGTATATCAAATACAGAATGTAAAACATTATTAAGCAAGTTCTTCCCTAATGAATGTTAATATGGTCTTCTAATTATTGTTAATATGTTGTTATATTGAAACATTTAATTTCAATGTGACTGGATTGTTAGGGAATAAAGTACTATATATTAATGTGCAATATTTAGTATTTCATAACCAACATATAATTATGTTGATTAATTTTAACATACATTTTAATCAATTTAAATTTTATGTGTATGCATGCACTGCACATTTACTAGAACTGGTATCATATCTTGAACTGAATTGTGTAATTTATGCTGTAGAAATAGAATGAAGGAACAAAGACAAGAATATATATATTTTGACATTTATGGCCACTGAAACACATGCACAGACAAATGTCTACAACACACAGCAAGTAGTTGTTTGCTGGTATGAGACATGTTTATGTACATGGTAGGAACCATTAACAGTAAAGAAAACTGTACAGTTATTTTCTCCATCACAGAGATATAATCTTGAAATATTACATATATACATGAACATATTCATCAAAAGTACCAAAGAATATTCCAAAAACATTGCATTCAGTGATAAGACACGGCAGGCTAACTTTGACAATATTAATGTTCAAAGCAAGTATTGTAGGGAAGATTTTTGCAAGCAGATTCATATAGCAATGCATAAATGGATCATATTCATGCTTTAACTATGAGCATTTTCAAAATTGAGCTGGAGTTAAAGAAACATTTCACGCTGTTTATACACAAATATTGGAAGAAAGTTTTTAAAATTAGTTAATATCTTAAAATGATTTAGGTGGAATAACATTTTGATCTAAAATCACATTTATGCAAAGCTGAGAGGGAGAAAAATAATACTCTTCCAAAGACAATTTTATTATACTAAATGTGCTTTTTTTCATAAACACATAATAAATGATGACATATAATTTTCTGTTGTTTATTCATAATAATAAACAACATAGAAATAGTTTTTATTAAATTCAGTATATTTAGATTAATGCTTGTAAGAGATTTTCAGTTTAATGAGATTATTAGTGGTAGGTTTATAGTACTTTTTCTATGCTTTTTCATTTCAGATATTGTAAAAAATTTAAACACTATCTTCATGCTGTAGTTAAAAGAAAATATCTGACAACTTCAGATTTTAAATAATTTTTTAAGCACAAAAAATGTGTTATATTACTGCTCTGCAATAAATAAAATAAAATGCACTTTATTGTAGAAATGGGAGAAAATATTTTATTCAATAAAATTTTTCAATTTATTGAAAAAAATTATAATAAGACTTTTAATGATTAACTTCATAATATAATTACTACTTTAATCTATGAGAATTTACATTATATTTATGGCACATGATTCTTATGGTACATAGTTGTTAAAAATCCACAAAAAATATAATCCTTTTTTTAATAATAAAATGTTATTGGAAACAATAGGAAGGCACTATCAATTATTGAAATTCAAAATTCAAAATAATTTACATTTATTTCTTTTCTTCTGTATTAAAAATAATGAAATCATTTCAGATAGAATAAAACAACTACATTTTGCAGTTAGTATGAAAATAAGATTTTAAACCAGGCATTATACAAAAATCCAGAAAATTATTCTAAGGGTTACTGAGTTCACATTTCATTATACAGCACATGATTTAGCAAAGCATGATATATAGGACACAATGAATAAGAAACAAACAAATATAACTTGATGGAAGCCTTTAACAGCAAAGTAAAGCACTGACATGTCAGTAGTCTTCATCATTAGCAACATATCAATCACAGATTAAGTCAATCTAGGACCTTTGACACAATGCTCTTTTACAGCTTCATTTTTATGAAGGCAGAACAGAATTGTGAGGAACTACACGCTAATCTTAAACCCCTAAAATCTAAGGCCCTAGGATATCATAAAAGCAGTGAGTTAAGAAGTATGAAAGAACATAACAATCTTGAGAGAAACATACCATTCCTTATGTTACAAAATTTCATTTAAATGTCAATTAATCAAAATACCAAAAGAAATATCCAAAAGCTATACATGTAAAATATCAGTGCAATTTTCTTTGACATAAAAGATGACAAAACAGAAGTAAAAGCTAACAATATTTATAAAAACTTTGAAGATTTTCATATATACAAAAAAAAAAAAAAAAAAAAAAAAAAAAAAAAAAAAAATAAATCAATGACTTTCTAAAATGAGCTAGTTAGTACAATTCATATGTAGAAGTTAAAACAATTCATATTCATTCATTCAGTGCAAATTTTTAAACCAATATTTCATTTATAATTAATTTGAAAAATTTGTTTATATCATTCATAAAGCACATGAAAACATAGTGAATCAGAATATCGATCAAATGCCATTTTCTTTTGTTTCCAGGAAAATTAAAAAGAGTTACTTCTGTGTATACTCAAATCACAACGAAATTGGTGTTGAATTCAACAGAGGAATTATGAATAACAATGACAGTAATGAAAATCAAACAAAATTTTCAAAACTATGGTCATGATTTCCTACAATGCACATCTCTCAGAAGAGTACAGAAACTATACTAACTTAATATTTAAAGAAATTATAAACTGGCATGTTTGCAGTGAGACAAAAATATCCAAACAGAATGCATATAATAATAAGAATAAGACAAATATATGGTGTGCAGATTAAAAATTAATTTGTAAGAATTCTGAAACTAGAAATTGTTCTGAAATAGCAGAAAATCATAAAAATACACAAAGCCCCAGATCAAACACATATGTCCAGTAAATATCCTTATAAAATTCAGTAATTTTCTTTGGCATCATAAAATGTAACCAAAGTCTAGATGGACTGGTAGTGGATTGTAGCTCAGTCAAATGTAACAACTGAAACTTGAGAAGGGTGTAAAAGACCCTTTTTATTACATTATTTAAATAAGAACAGAAGGCACACTTGATGCTTACAACTTAGCCAACTACTTGTGGCGAGATAATTTAAGGTAACAGCAAGTCAAATATAAAATTGAATTTAAATAAGCTAGATGTCTTGAAAATTAACTGGCCAAGATATTCAACTATTGACAATTACAAAGCAAGGCCAAAGACTTATCTGATCTAGCAACCTAGTAATGTGGTTTCCAGATGCAGAACATGCTCTGTCTTACAATCTAAAAAAACCTCACCTGAAAAACTCGCAACCTGATTTGCATTCTGGTGGGAAAAAGAAAGGGAGAAGTGACAGTAAAGTTCCAACACACAAAATAACTAATAACTGGTTAATTAATATAAAATAACCTTACAACCATTAGGTCTTCAAAATATGTAAAAATATTAGTAAGAAGTTCTTTGCTATGTACATTCTGAACCCCCATTACTTTTTTCAGGTGTCAGTAAAATGAAAAACATAATATGGTAAAAAAATTATGAAATTGTGAAGCTTCAAAAGATTATTTCAAAGAGAACTGTTGAAAATAAAATGATCCTGTTTAAATTTCATTCTTTTAAACAAAATTCCTTTGTTGAAGAATGGAGATTTTTGAAATACTGCAGTTTTCTATTCATTACATTACAACTTTTTGACATTTTATTTCTTGCAAAATTATCCTTGTTGCAGAAATACACGTACATCTTGCAACTAAGTGATATAGAGGAGGGAAAAAAAGTGTCTTAAAACTTCAGTATCTTAACTCAGATAAATGACCACTAATAATCACACCATATAACTGAAAATAAGGGGAATATTTTTTAAAATTATTAAACTATTTTTTAAAATACTGCAAACAACATTTTTTAAAGTTTATATCATGTCACTTTAATAAGGTATTCCATTTATTTTAACAATACTATAACAGTATAATACACTACTTCATGCACAATCAATATCATAAACTGTGTGAAATAACTTAAGCACTTGCTGAAGCTACGAGATTTAAAAAAATTTACAATTAGCAATATAACAGTTTTGTTTAGAAACTTCATTAATTAAGTTTAAAAACTGTAATACAATACAATAATTTCAGTGCCTGTATTTAGGATATTTTTATTCTCATTCTAAGTTAAGAAACTTTGACATTTGTCTGTAATTACACATTTGACCTTTGAAGAAACTCCCTCCCCCCAAAACTGCTCTTTATTTACGCTCGTTTCAGCTTCTTGTAGTAAATTCAATTGCAAAGAATACTTTTATTACCATATTATTTATAAAAAGATTCAGAACAAAATAAGAATCTGAGTATGTGATAACAATAGAGATGAATTAATTATCTAAAATATAAAGTAAAACTCAACTTCTGAACAAATCTCACAATTAAACATTTCGAATAGCCATTCTTGAATTATGGTCTGTGAGCTAAAAATAAAGAGCCACAAAGGTAATTTTAAATGAAAATATGACTTGTTACTCAATTTCTTTACAAAAAAAAAGTTTCGATTTCCAACTTAAGAGATTACAGGTCGAGTAAATTACACATTGTATAAAACAGGATTATATAAATGTAAAAATTGATGATTTAGATTTTAAAAAAATGAAACCTCAAACATTTTTTTCACTGCAGGGTGCATATAACAGATAATATTCTAGATATACTCTCAAATCCTGGAAAAACGTAACAGCATTCGAAAAGAAAAATATTACATAAATTTGCATAACATTTTAAAAATAATAGGTGATAAAAATCATTTAAATATTTATTAACAGACCAATAGAAAGAATGCTAACTTTAACATTAATTAAGAAAAATTAAACCATAGATTGGTATTAATTTTTTCTTAAAAACCTTTTTGAGAGAATTTGGAGTATTCTCTTTCTCAAGCAAACAAATTATTCTGTTAATTTTGAACATCAAATTGCTCTTCGAATGAGAAACTTAAATCTTATTCAAATGAAATGCATAGAACTTTTCTTTAATATAAATACCAACCTATGATTGAATTTATTTAATTTTATTAATAAATTTATTTTTTAAAACATATTACAACATATTAAAATATCATGACAGGTTTTTGAATAAGTGTCAATAGACTGATTTTATTTTTTTTAAGTATAATATTTTTCTCACAGAAGTGATAAGTATCAAATCCACAGATATGTTTTTCTGTTGGAGCCAGTAAAATAATGTTTGCATACTTTTTCTCATTATCTCTTTGCCAATGAAGAAAGAATATCACATTTTGCTTTTTCTTTTTTTCAACAACATTCACAAAAAGCTCTTTATCTTTAAATCCTACTATATAAAATTTGTTAAAAAATTTTAATTTTCAGTTAACTATTATAATAGCATATAAAAAGAAGACAAATTTTAACAAACTCGGATCTGTAATCGTAACTGGTCTGAGTTATACTGGTTAGCTATTGCATAAAGGTTTGAAATCATTATTAAGAATAGTTTAGTTATTTTTATTATACAATTCTCCCAATACACCACACATTTTAAGTTAGTATCAATATGAATAGATCCAGGAATGCAAACCATCCACATAAAATATTGTTCTTCTGTCACATGCACATTACAAAAATTAAATTACGTATACTTCTGGAAAGTAAATTATACCTGATTGTTCAATAATAAGGCAATGCATTTAAAAATTAAATTAGCACCATCTTATTTTTACAACTAAATGAAAACAATGAATACTAAAGTAAAATATTTCAAGTTAGAAACACTATGAAAAATTATTATGCTGCTTGTGCAATGACATAAGGCATAAAAACGTTAAAATATGTTAATGAAAATATCAAATGACTTCATTATAATACTAAAAAGTATCCAATAAAATCCAAAATTCAATAATTCAACTTCCCGATATTTAATACATCTTAAAATACTATTAATATAATGAAATATTGCTGCCTTTTCTGAGATATAAATGTATATATTTTTTTTTCACAATTGTTTAACACCCCACACTAAAGCTCATTTAATGATATGAATTTATGTTATTCATAATAATTGCTTATTGCTTCTCTTCATGTACAGCAGGAAAAGCACATATAAAGACAATGTAGTCCCAAAAGATAATGAATATGTTGATTTCTTTCTAAAAATAAATAATAATAAAAATATAATAGAGGAATTTATTTAAAATTTTTACACCAAAATTATTTTAGTAACTACTACAAGCATTTACAGAGAAATAAACTGAAAATGCTTGAAAACAACAGCAATATTCTTGCAGATACTTTTTCTTTTAACAGCAGTATATAATGTCCATTGGACTCTAAATCTATTTTTCAGTAAGTTATTATTTGAAAATTGTTAGTATGAGAAGAGACGTCACAAAATGTTATGACAAATGAACAATGACTAGGTTCAAAATACGCACATATGGTTTCATATGTGTGTGCATATATATATATATATATATATACATATATATTAGCATATTTTCGGATATACAACAGTTTTTTCTTTTCTTTTGAAGGAAAATTCACAATGCAGCAGATTATTTTTTTTACATCACATGAAGAGAGCAAAACTAATTTATCACAGCATTTCAAAAAATGCATTTATTTCATTTTTCATTTTAAAAGAGCATTCAAAACCTACAACACGATTGCTGAACTAATGTCATGTAGTGAAAACTTTTACAATTTATTAAATAGGTTTAGTAATTTAATAACATATTAGTACTACACAGAAAGATTTTTGAAGAGGTAGCCTATTAATATAAAAGTTTACCAGACACCAAAATTCGGTGACTTTTCGTTGTTGTAGTGAAGATTTGCATAAAAAGGTACCAATTGTGAAGATTTGCATAAAAAGGTACCAGTTGATACAGTTTCATACAATATACTTATTCATTATTTTGTGAGAAATTCTTCTCAGATAATCTTTAAAATAAATCACTAAATGATGAAATAATACTACTTTTAAAACAAGAGGAACACAATGAAGAATAATAATCATCTTCCATCAGTAATCACTTGCATTATTTTCATCAATTATTTAAAATACATGAATTGTTAATAAGTTCACAAATTATAAGACAAAGTTTCATTTTAAAATTATTGTTGCAGTTGCATAGTGAAAAAATATTTTTAATGCATTCACTCATTTTCATTAAGATTATTACCAATCATCAAGATTTTATTGATTTACATGAGTACTGCAAATACTAACTGAATAAATAATCACATACAAATTTTAACTTTTGGTATTCAGATATCAAGTTAGAATGAGAAGTGTTAAAGAATTAGGAAAAAGAGCTTCACAAAACTAATTATTTTTTTGTTAATACCTGTCTACTAAATATCAAAAATCGATGAATTTATAATTTCAAAATATACAAAACTTAGAGTTACTACAAGTTACACAACTGTTTATAGTGAGCATCATTATCTCTACAACTGAACTATATTTATATAATATTCAAAAGGCACAAAGTTAGTTCCAACAGTATTGAAGGAGGCAACATTCTATTTATAAATCATTCAAATAGGTCCTGCAGGCACTAAGCAGGCTTGGGTTTCTTTACCTAATTTATAATTTATAATCCAGAATCAAAATAAGAAAGAAATTATACTTTGAAACAGACTTAAAATTGATTAAAATTTTGAAATTCTTCAAGGTTTATGTCCTAATATTTTTCTTGGCAAGTAATATACAAAATTTGCTATAGAATTATGACCCATTCAATCTTACATATTTGGCAATGGACATCAGTAAAACCAATTTTAATTCTAAATTTTCAAATAAATGCATTTCAATTATATTTAATAAATTATGCCTTCTTTTTCAATCTTTGAATGTGAAATCTGAATAATATTTTTAAGGCTCCAAGCATTTAAAAATATTACAAGATCAAGCTGCATATGACTTCTTCAGTAAATATATGTCTGAACAAATCTGCATAAATTGAATCAAATCCTTCCCCATATTAAAATAAAAACATAAAAATAATGTGATTACTAATTTAATTAGTGAACTGAAATATTAGTCAAAAAGGAATAAGTTTCATCACTCAACATAATGCACATTTTATGAGGGATTAAAAAACATGATATACTAAAGCCAGGTCACTTCAATAACAGGTTTGTATACTCTAGATATGTAGAATTATCACATTAATTTACAAAATACACAAATTCAATACTTTAGAAATATTGTTGAGAATTAAAAAAATTTGCCCCCAAAATTTTTTTAACATCCTTAAAAACCATGAACAGTGGAATAAGCATTTTGCACTTAAAATGCCAAATAATACATTTTCAGTAGATGCTACAATCTCTCTCTTTTTTTAGAAATACAGCACTGTTAACATCTAATTTCATTTCACTAAATCTCGCATCAATTAAAAGATGAATGATACAAACATGAAGCATTATACATTTTTTAACTTGCTTTTTCTTATATTCCCCCTTTCTCTTCTATAATAATTAAATACTTGCTGTTTTGCGGTTTCATTTATTATTTTCCATACTAAACTTTTCTTTAAGCTATTTGTAATTAATCTGAATTCTCTATTACAGTTTTTGAATTCCCATTTTTTATAAATTTGGAATTATCTCTATATTTAAAAACAGAAATATTGCAATGTTTTTAAAAAATATCTTGCTCATTTTCAAGATATGAGGATATGAGTGTGTAACCAAAAAAGCCTTTTATACTTCAAAAATCGAAAAATGCATGAAAATGCTAATCGCTCAAAATGCAATAGTAAAATCTGCACACATATATAGATGGTTTTAAAATACCAATATAAATTAAAACTGAATCATGTGGAATCAAAAATTTGTTCCTTTATATATTTAAAGAGTAAAAGGTTAGTTTAAAATTATTTATTCTTTTATTTACCATTAAAACGTTACAGATTATATCCTATTTCACAGGTACTTAGGTTGGAGGCTTGAGGGATGGGAGTTTTTGCTTGAACTCACAATAAAAAATAAAATTCACATAAATATGTTGTTGTTCAAAATGGTCAAACAGTTGCAACGTGATGCATTCATTGGGAAGATCCATACCAACTGCTTATTTAGTTACCCACTGAGAATGTTGCCCAGTGGACATCACAGAGAGGTGGAACAAATTACACTTGTGAGAAACTCCATTTCAGTTTTGATGAGGAACATCCCAGGGAATGGATCCAAGGATTGCCCACCTTCCTGTACCACCAAACCTCTTGAGAGGACTTTTGGTTTGCCAATATTTTAAGTGCCCCCATTGCTGCACACATACATATACCAACATCCAAGCTTTCTCTGGGATTCACATCCAGGCTCAAAAAGAGCAAGCAGAATTACTAACCAGGGCAACATTTATACAAATACATAATTTTTGTAAAACTTTCAAAATTCGAATAAAAAAGTCAGATTGTATTGAATTTTCTGTTGAACCCACAATATTAACATTTATTAACACTGAGTTAACTTTAGCAAATTACTCAGCAAGAAGAGTGACAAAAATGCATCAGCAACAAAATATTTAAGTCAAAAATGTTTTAAAGAAAATTATAAATTAATTTTTGATAATTTTATAATTGTAAATTATTAGCAAAATAATAATGTTCTAGAGCAAATGCATATTTAATTTTAGTAATTTTTAATCCGCAGCCATGTCAGAATGGTCTAGATTGATAAACATTAGTTTTGTATTATTTAGCATTTTAATTTGCTAACATTTTCACAGTTCATAGTTTTTACAAAAGGTTCATAAAATATATATTATGAGGAGCCAATTTAATCTTTTCGTTTGAAGATTAAGAATTCATTACAGTGATTAGTTAAAAATAACTGAAATTGCATGATGAAATTCAAAATATAATCATAATTCAATTATATTTAACTAAGTAAATATATCGAAATATATTATATTATATGTAAGCTATTTTTATATACGACTTCAAGAACAGTCTACATCATTGTATTTATTAAAATTTGAAATTAAGTTATGAGTCAATTTTAATGGCATACAAAACAATGGAAAAGACAAAATAGTTTTTTCATTAATATTGTAAAATTATACCATTTTACACAAATACTTTATCATGCAACATTAAATTTGTTAAAAATAATTTAAATAGTAGCAATGCTATTCTAGAACATAACAACTTAATTTAATTATAAAAGCTTTTAAAATGATCTCAAATGGTATGAATAAAAAATAAATTACAATAAAAAACTAACTGGAATTTTTTTTTTTCATCCAAACATTAATAACCCAAGCAACTGACTAGAGACAGGTATATCTTTCATAATCTGTCAACAAAATATCAACATTCATAAAGCATTTTTCAGAAGCAGCTCTAAAAGAGATTGACAAACAAAATCTTAATTTGGCAGTGAAAGAACTTTACATAACTTCTCAATTGAGAAAACACCAACAACAGGTCAACAGTCTTCCCATCGATATGATTTCAATTATGCATTTGCACAATATTTTTATCTAGGACATATTCCTTGACACCATATCAGCTCAGACTGACAATGCAGCATTTTTAAGCGGAAGAACAAGTTTAGTATACATACAGTTGATTCCCTGGCTTTTGTTATTGGCCTCTGAGACCATAAACCTGTACAAATGTTGAATAAAAAATGAAGCTGCTACCAGTGTTGTCCAGAATGACCTGAGCTGTTATACTGGCCTCTGTCCCGGTCAGATGAATGACCACCCGACCTTTCATATGCACGATCTGAGCTCGGTCTTTCTGAATATCTTCCTTTCTCAGAAGGCATATGTTCTTTAGAAGGTACTGATGAAGAATAATGAGAGCTGCCACTGCCTCTCATATACTGTGAACCACTGCGATGCTCTATGAATAGAACACATGATTACTAATTACATCTTTATTAAAATTAAAGAGCAAGATAATTAATTCTTTTAATTAGTATTAAAAAAACATTTTCATTTTCCCTTTGTTTATTACTACATGGGAGGGGGGGAAATTAATATTATAATAAATAACTAAAAATAGTACTATAATATATTACATAATTATTTGAAGTGCTATTTAACCAATATAGATTTGAATAGAATAGCTGATACTGTTCCAAATAATTTTGGAACATAATGTTATAAAAATAAAACCTTGATAGAAGATGAATTAAAGAAACTTCACAGTTAAACTATATACATACAGTATATGCCTATATTTGTTGAGGTAGGGAAAAGGTTTGATGTGTATAATAAAACAATGGCATACAATTTAGACATTTTTTATTGAAATACTGAGTAAAAAAATTTAAAGTATTTAAGCATTATTTAACTTTTGAGGAAAAAATATACTAGAAAGCTTTTTTCAATAAGAGGATAAAAATAAATAAAATTTGGTTTACATCCAAAGCATTTAATTTAATGAGTTTTACAGATATTGTAAGAAACTATAACCTTAATAAAAAAAAAGTATGTCATATTTTATTTAATTTTATTTTTGCTTTTATTTTATTTGATTAATATTTGCTTATTTACTTATTGCTTCATTGCAAAAATTATTTCAGATTCCTCAAATGAATGATAATTTGATTAAGAAATTAATGATATGATGCTAAAACAATCAACTTGACAGTTAGCACAGTAGGAATTTTCAAATTTTACAAGATATAAAGTTTTATGTATGTAACATTTTTGTTTTCATTAGATTATAAAAATGCTTAGAGTAATTTAAATATTGTTTTACAAACTTTCAAGATTTAAAGAGTTATATTTTAGGAATTTAATTCCAATCAGTATATCTTTTTATGATTAATATCTCAGTTTTGAATTTCCCATTTTACAGTTAGGAATAAATTGATTTGCAAATACAATCTCTCCATGTATATATACAGCTGTATTAATTATAATTCATTACATTATGAGATAATGCGTTTTTGACTGTTTAAATAGCTATAACTAAGAGGATTCAGTTTTTTACGGTTCATATTTGTAGGCAGTGATTATATAAAAAAGAGAACTGATGATATTTAAATACAGGGTGGTTATAAATAAAGCGACCCTATTCATACCCCTCTAGAACCTATTCTACTTATTGAATTTTGATGACATTTGGTATACAGTACAAAGTCTCTAATCCGGATGTCCATTATCCGGAATGATTTATAATCCGGACCTCAAAGCCACAAACTTACGCATGCATGTTTGATGCGCGCGTCCGCTATGCATGCGCATAAAGCCACTAAAGCGTTTACCCATGCGCGGCTTCCGCTAGTGAAGAAAGTAATAGAGAACGTTATTGAAAATGAAAAAATTCGATTGACAAGTTAGTCGGTATTCTGGACACAGTAATTACAGGACTTGAACAGTGGAACTTCGTAACTAAACAAGAAATTATGTCTGTTAATAGAATTAAAGAGAAAGTATTAGCACAAAAACGAAGCAACTTAAACAACTTACATTGATAGAAATGTTTAATAAAGGAAACAAATAACTATTAAGCTTTTTTTTTTTTTTTTAAATTTTTGATACCTTTTAGATCATTGCTCTTTATTTCATAAATTACGGTTTCATATTTTTAATTGTATTATTTCTAAATGCCATCTTACCATATTTAAATTGATGATCTATAATCCGGAAAAATCCCTAATCCGGAATCGCCGAAGTCCCAATGAGTCCGGATTACGGACTTTGTACTGTATATGTTATATGGACCACAGGGAAACGATTTCTGAAATAAAACACAATAGTTCAAATTTTGGTCACCAGGGAGAATTGTGGCACCTAAAGAAGGGGGAAAATCTATTAGAATCTTTAAAATTTATTCAGTTACAGAATGTGCTCAATGCGTGCTCAATTGGCATCAATTATGTGTTGAAAACTCATTAGACAGTGTCCAATGGTAACGCGAAGTAACTCTTGAGGGATTTCAGCAAGATGACGTGTAATGTTGCTTTCAAGTCGGGTAAAGTCCTAATTCCTCCTCCACAAACATGGTCTTTTAGGAAGTCCCACAACCAGAAATCACAGGGACTTAAGTCAGAGGAACGAGTAGGCCAGGCCTAACTTTGGCTAAAAGTTTTGAATTGTCAGCCAATGTGGGGAGTCGCGCCATCTTGCTTGAAGACAGTGGTCTGCAAACATTGCCATTCCTGTAAAGCAGGAATGATTTGCTGTCGAAGAAGTTTACTGTACCATGCCCTTGTGACACAGCACGTTTTAGGACCTTGAGGAGTGAGAGTTTCAAAGAAAAAAGGTCCGAGGATAAAATCAGCAGTAAATCCACACCATGCTGTCACATAATCAGGATGCAGTGGTTGTTGATGCAGGACATAGTAGCAAAAAAGTGATTGTAGCAAAAAAGTGAAGCATCCCATATGCGACAATTTTGATTATTCACAGCTCCATCGAAAGAAAAGTGCACTGTATCTGACCATAGAATTTTCCAAGGCCACGCGTCATCAAAATCCATTCTCGCCAAAAATTGGGCAAGCAAATTCAGAGCGTGTTTGGTTGTCTTGAGGTTGAAGCACTTGCACCAAGTGGATCTTATACGGATACCATATCAATATGGATCGCAGAATTTTTTGTACTGTTGACAAAGGAATCGCTAACTCACACGACACCGATCGAGCACTCACTGAAGATAGTGGGAAATGGAGGTTCTTTTCAACCACAGCAGTTGCGACTTCTTCGACAATTTCATTCGCAAATGGTTTCCGCCCTCTTCACAGCAGCACACACAAGTATCCAGTCTCCTCAAATTTCATAATCATCTTCTTCAAAATGGGCCTCTTTTCGCAATCCCTTTAAATGATGATGTTCACGCAATGCAGCTAAGCTATTGCAGTCTTACCAGTAAAACTCGATCTTTCTAAAGGCATGATTAACGACGGCAAAGGGCACACAGAATACTTTTCTGGCTCTGACTCCAAGTCTCTTTATAGGTTTGAATAATTTGCATAAGGAATTTTTTAAAACTGTCATCTGGTCGTCAAAATGTGAACTATTTTTCTATTGCAGAAATTTTTCCCCCATAGCCCATATAGCATATATACCAAGTTTAATCGAAATCCAATAGGCAGAATGGGTTCTACAGGGGTCTGAATAGGGTCACTTTAATTATAACCATCCTGTATATTTGATAAGTTGTCATGTAGAAATGAATTACTCAGTTCATGATAAATATAATTTAAACAGTTATCTTTGTTTAATGTTCTGAATATAATATTTTAAACAAACCTCATTATTGAAATGCTACCTACATGGCAGTTTTCGTAGTTTTGCCCTTTTGTAATATGAATACAAACCAGTTTCCTTTCAAACAACTTCTATAAAGAATATCCCCCTTAGACAGACTTTACTAAATGCATGGCCATAATCCCAATTGTAGCAAAAATGTGAAAACAATTCAAAACATTATGTGAAATCTTAAAAGTTAATACACATATATGGGTCTTCACACAAATCTTCATTTAGATGCACAAATAAAAAATATTTTTCTCCTAAACATGCAAATAACTGATTTCATCTAAATTCTGGATTCTTTTTGTTTTTATATATAAGCAAACCAATTGGAAAGTTTTTTTGAGATTCTATACTTTTTGATTTGGTAGTCATTAGGAAATCATATCCATCTGAATATATTCCTTCCCTTTTTTCTCACTGCTGAAATTCTTTACAACAAAGAATCAAGACAATCTTTTTTTAATCAAAGAATTTAGTTACACAGTCTTAAAAAATTAAGTGAGAATCCAAAACTATATCTTTTATTACTGCAGAAAATTATCATTATTTAAAAAAATCTTTGTTGCTTTTTTACTCTCTTTACAACTCGGTTTAAACTTCTGTCTTTATTTTTTTATCAAAACTGATTCATCATATTTAGGTTTCAGTCTTGTGAAGTTCTTTCTTCATTGATAATATAATATTTGATGTTGAAGGAATTGCACATATAAAGATTCCCAAAATGAACATCATGGTATTTCTGGTAATTCAGTAGAATCCATTTTTTAGGCATGCACTCAGTTATTATTTTTTTATCACGATTTCAATGTTTTTATTAAAAATTCTATAATCTTCATCTTTTCGAGTGAAGATGAAGGTTAAAAAATATTGTTAAGCTCAGAATAAATATTTTGCCTTTCTTTTATAGATACAAAATTTTTATTTTCAGATTAATTAAAAATCATGTTTAATGTTGTTAGTTCATCAATTGTGAACCTTATGGCAAATTAATGAACGTTTTCACAGTAAAGTGATCCAACAGGAAGATTTATACTGATTGTAACACTAAAATTGTATTAGATAATAATGTAAGGTCATTGGCTGTAAAATTTAAATTAGATTTTAAATCCATGAGCTATTTTCAGTATACGTTTTAATCATTGTAAACATTCCAATGTACCAGCTTTTACTGTGAGTTTTGAAGTCTAGTGCCAATTAACATTTTCTACCAGTTTGGTCCCCCTCATATGAGTTGCCACTTGTGATTTTTGGAATATTTCGACTGATCTTTTCTCTCTCTTTTTTTAATCAAAGAATTTAGTTACACAGTCTTAAAAAATTAAATGAGAATCCAAAACCATATCTTTTATTACTGCAAAAAATTATCATTATTTAAAAAAATCTTTGTTGCTATTTTTGTCATTAAGAGTTTTCAGAATTATTTGTGTTCAGTAATTTAATAGATTTCTGATTTTTGTATTCAAATTCACCTAATTCTTGCTGAAAAGAGCTTTTATAACAGCTAACTGTATTTCCTCTGCAAAATGTAGAAGCTGATAATTCGCATTAATCAATTCATTGCTCTTATTGGCACTGAAACTTTACCTGTAGTTTACTTTCACAATATTTTCTAAAGAATAGTCACACTATTTTAAT